TAAAAGGGAAGGAAGAAATTGATGAAAATTGAGAGAGAAAGAGAGCATGGTTTCTCCTCTCCGGTTGGGTGAATGTCTGCACCCTTCCATGTTTATGGTTTTTATGTTCTATGTTATGTGGTCTTGTTTCTGCTATATATTATAGCAGAATATCAATAAAAGAAAATGGGTTTTAACCTCACCAAAAGAAGGAACTCCGGGTGTCTCTCCTTCTCCTTCTCCTCCAAGTCCTCTCTCAATCCCCCCTTCTCACCACCAAAAATCCAACATGGTATCAGAGCTGAAATCTTGAGGGACCTGTGAGAGTTTGTTTTTTGAAGGAACACCAGAAAAAAAAAACCCACCTTTCTCATTGTTTTCAGACGGTTTTCATGGGAAACCCCTCTTGCTTGGCCAAAATCTTGCAGCAAAAAAGGCTGTGAAGATGGAGGCATATGTTAGTCCCACCATGGGAGATGTCAAGGAGAGGAAAGCTGGATTCAAAGAGAAGGTGTTCATGTTTGTTTGAAAAATCAGTCCAAAAGGCAAATCATGGTTGATGAAATGGGAAACTGAGCACAAAAAACTCAGTTTCATGGTATGTTCTTCATCCATCTTTTATGTTTGGTATGGATATGTTTTGAGTTTTCTCAAGAAAACTCTTCATGAATGTGGCTTTGATGCTCTAAACTCCCACGGTTTCATGGCAAAGAATGTTTGATGGAGATGATGGCAAAGGAAAACTGAGCACATCTCAGTTTCATTCTTTGTTCTTCAACCATCTTTTATGTTTGTATTTCTGAATGTTAAGAGCCTTTTCATAAAAATAAAAAATTAAAAAAAAAATCCTCTTCATGTTTATGTACTTGTGAATCCCATTGCTTTATGGCAAAGAAGTCTGATGGAGGAGCAGCCAAGACCAAGTGCAAAATCACAACTCCAGAATGTACTGAAGCGGCAAAAATCAATGGACAAAGCTGCTGCAATGGTGGAGTTGTTGAAAATGTTTAAGGCTCCTGAATTTTTTCAAACAACAAAAATCTAACAAAGATGAAGCTGCTGATTTGCAGGAGGAGCTGAAATATTTGAGAAGATGGTACTTGGCAGCAAACAACAAACCAAACCAAAGACAGAACTGAAAATGGCAGATTCAATGTGCTAAAGTAAAATTGTGTTTCTGCAGCTTTAATGCCAAGGAAGAGTTCGTTGGAGCTATGGCATGAAAGCTGAAAATGCAGTGAAATGAGATCTGCTAAATGATGCTGCAATATGACTGCACAGTAGCAGCAAATGACAGCAGCATGCAGCTTCACATGGGCTACAAGAAATGGCAGAACACTTGGTCATTTTAGTCAATGTTTTAGGTAGTTAATAATTATAGTTTAGGTAGAAAAATATTATTGTTTTAGGTGTAGCCTTCCTCTATAAAAAGGAAGGAAGAAATTGATGAAAATTGAGAGAGAAAGAGAGCATGGTTTCTCCTCTCCGGTTGGGTGAATGTCTGCACCCTTCCATGTTTATGGCTTTTATGTTCTATGTTATGTTGTGTTGTTTCTGCTATAAATAGCAGAATATCAATGGAAGAAAATGGGTTCTGACTTCACCAAAAGAGGAAACTCCAGGTATCTCTACCTCTCCTCCAAGTACTCTCTCAATCCCTCCCTTCTTACCCTCAAAAATCCAACAAACTCCTTGCATTTTCACAGCTTCTGCATACATATTATGTCTCAAGTCCACTTTGTTTGTTTATTTGTTTGAAAATTTTTGTGGGAACATTTGAGGAAGTACGTTATGATATCACAACTTAGTAGTTAGTACTTCCATTATTGAGTCTAATAGTATGAAAATTAGACAGCACTTACTTGTGTTTTCCTCTTCCTTTACTTTTATGTCTTTTCTTTATATTTTTCACTTTCAACATTGAAGGATGCATTATATATTATTATACTAATGGCTTTTCTAGTTTCTAGTGAATGTGAACGGTGTATCACCGTGCTTGAAGAATCCGTTCCCTCTCTTCTTCATTGTTTGGAGATTGTGGATGCTCATTTAGCAGTCAAAGGAGGTTGCTTTTCATGGGAAGTAGAAGAGGGAGTGAAATGTGCTTGTTAAGAATTTCTGAAGAGGTATGCTAAAGTTGTAGAAATTTGAAACGTTATCTCCTGTAGTTAAAGGCTTAAAGAAAATTCTGGTAGGTGTAAAATTTTTAGTCCATGGAGTCCAATCTTATATATCTTTAAAATGTTTTCAGGACATAAAATCTGGTTCGGTTGGTCTTGGCCATGTTTATTGTCTATATCTGGTTGAAATGAACACTTATATTATCCTACTTTACTGGTCCTAAGTTATGGTGATGTTTTCTTTTAGATCACTACATATATGGTTTTGCATATTAAATTTTGGTAATACTTATGGCAGTAGTTCAGGATGACATTTGCTTGATTTGTGCAAGAGTAATTGAATACATTACTCATCCAGCTTATTTGTTGCTATTTTGCAGATAAGGCAGCAGAAAAATGACTTTGCACGACACAGTTTTAAGTTCTTGTCCGCTTACATTTGGGTTTATAAAGTGGTCCAATACTTAAAGTTGGCATTTCTGGTGGTGTCCACTACCTTCATCTTTTCTCACCATTTTTAGTCCATATCATGATATTGATATATGCATGTCCTATTTTGTGCCCTAATAATAAAAGCATTTTTCCATGGTAATGATCTGCAGGGAAATTGATGAAGCCCTGAGACTAGTGTATATGCATTAATAGATGCTTTTCAACAAATGATCTCCAGTGTCTGCAAACTATTTTGAATCAGAAATTTTGATTTATATGACTCCAAATTAGAAGATCTTTCTTCATTCTAACTTCCCTTCTGCTGTCATGTCTCGTAGAGGGTCCTTGCAGAAACATTCTGGCAAGTTTGCAGGATGATTACAGACTGAATTGCCCGTATGAAGGAAAAGTCTGATCTACATTTCTTTCTCCGGTAGATTGTGTTGACAAGTTGTATTGATTTTGATTTTGGTCCATCAACACTTGAATTGTCTTCCTGTGATTGTACAATTTTTTGTGATGATGTTGGTTCTCTTGTGGTTAATGACTGAATTCATTGGATTAAGTTTGTCCATGTGGAACGTGGGTCTGTATCATGAGCAATGGCAACATTTTTTTTTTTACATTCAGTTCCTGGCAGCAGATTGGGATGAAAAGTCCATTCAATCATTTTCTTAGCCTGCTGTCAAAAAGACAAAAGGCGGATAGAGAGGAACCCTATGCTAGGTTTGATTAATTGTATTGTTCCAATAATTCCAGTAGTAGCATTTGATCACTTTTCCCTCTGCTTTAAGGAATTTTTATATTTATCCTAGATGATTAAGGACTAGATTTTTGTATATATGTTTAGTTAAATATTAGGAAGATAGGTGGATCATTCAGGTCGCATAACACCAGGTCTAATCAGCTACCCACTGCTTTAACTTCTGGCAGATCTAGATGATAATCAAGATTGCCTCACTCTCTTTCAAAGAGGAAAGATGCAAGTTTACCCAACACTTTCCCACCTCCAAAACACACACACACACACACACACGGTTTTTCTATGTGTGTGTGTGTGTGTGTGTGTGTGTGTGTGTGTGGTGTGGTTTAATTTTGAAATTCAGGGTACAAGAAGACAGACGGAAAGGAGGCGCAACGGCCAAAGGTGGTGTGGGGATTGGCTGCTCCATTAACTCTTCTTCAAAGGACCACCAAAGCAAGTGTCATGTCAAGCTTCTTTTGAGCTTTGTGCATATGAATTGGTTTATCTTATTCTAGTGTATGCTCCTCAACCAACCTCAGTGGATTGGGGTAATGACAGATGACTGTCCTCTTGTGCCTGTAGATAACTTTAGATAGCCCAACCACCATGTGCTCAAATTTCCAAAGTGGAAATTAGGCCCCCTTTTGCGTGTTAGGTTTGTAAAAATGCTCCATATTTCATCATTTTGTTTTTGCAGAGAAATAGCCTATTTCCTTGATGTTGACCGACCACCGAGCAACCCCTTTCTCCCCACTTTCCCCGTTAAAGTTTTCCTATCAGAACCAAGACATTTTACTACGATTGAGAATCACCCCCTAATAAAAGTTTAGGGTGAAAATAAATGGTCCTTACTCCATAAGATGTCCTTTTGATTTCAAATAGTGTACAAAGTTGTGCATTCAAGCCTGAGGTGCTGAGTTCAACCCCCCTACCTAAGAGAGGCCCCACAATAGTTTCCAATAACCAACCAATACAGGCCCCTTCATATTGCTATATGTCCAGGACTTGGATTTCCCAACTACCTGTTTCACTTTGCAGACAAGCTTGGGGTGCCTGAACAGGGAAAAAGCAGGGCTTCTTCAATGGGTTATTGCTCCTCTGGTTCCTGCTCTTGTGGAAGATGCAAACGTCCATGGAGTCCTCAACCACACTCCGTTTTGCTGCTTTTATTGGTGGCATTAACCTTGCTTGTTTTATCATCTCTCATCAAGTTTGATATAGTTCTGGAAACTGGGCCGGGGCCGCAGCTGTGGACTTTGGTACTTTTGCTCATCGCAGTCTCGATACTTTTCCTTGTTTGTTGGTTGCCAACTGGGAACTCATGCCGAGGAACTTACTATTGCGTATGCTGGAAATGCTCTTGGAAGGTTCGTTGTTGAATCTGGACCTCTCCTGATTCTGGCTTGTTTGCTATTAGGTTGTACTTTTCCAATTCATCTTCACTGTTCTGAAGAACTCTATTGTGCGGTATAATGTGTATGGTAACTTAAAGAACCCAATTCTGGCTTTTCAATTTCATGTAATTTGAAGAACTAGGCTTTTACCCAATTTGATCATAGATGATTGTGATGTGATCAAAACTATTCTTGGGAATTTCAAAGTATGCATCTTTTTTCTTGGGTTGTTTTTATTTTTATTTTATTTTTTTCAGTTTCACGCAATCTAAAGAATTGAGTTTGATCCAATTTAATCGTAGATGATTATGAATGCGATCAAAACTATACTTGGGAATTTCAAAAGTATGCATCTTTTTTCTTCTTCTTCTTCTTTTCTTTTCTTTCTTTTTTTTTCAGTTTCATGTAATTTAAAGAACAGGGTTTTGATCCAATTTGATCACAGATGATTATAAATGTGATAAAAAAGAATACATCTTTTTCTTTTTTTAGTTTTATGTAATTTAAAGAACTGGGTATTGATCCAATTTGATTATAGATAAATCATTTTTCTTGGATGTTCAACAGTGGTACTTAGGATTGGATACTAATTGACTGAAAATTATGAAGCTGGCAACTTACCACTATGAAAGAAGGTTAAGAAACATGTTTCTGTATCCTTCCGCAAATTCCATATCAAAAGCTGTAACATTTGATTTACAATAGAAAGTTGACACAAACAAGCACACCCATTAACGTACTTTGAAGTCTATAGTGGACATATCTTACAAGAGTTTTCCATTTTTGCTTAATATAAAATGGCTAATTAATCTGACCTTGAAAGGGGCCCAAACCACTTGGAGTGAAATGAGGATTGATGAGAGAGTAAGACCAATATAACCACCAACAGGATTGCGATCCCCCAAGGAAAGCCTCCGGTTCTCTGACCTGGCTGACCCTCCATCCGCTGCTGCTGCCAGAAAACAAACCTCCAGCTGGAAGAAAAGGAGAGAACAAAGAAGATGATGAACAGAACAGGCAACAGAATGAAGAAGAACTGGAAGTTTGTTGAAGTCTGGCGTAGGTGGCCTTTGTAGTCTGTGTACTGGGAAAGCCAGAGTAAGAGCATGACAATGCTGAAGATGGTGAGCAGCGGGCGAGGTGGTGCAGAAATGGAGGACAGAGTCTGGCCTGTCCATCCATATTTCCATTCTGGACCTCTTCTCCTGGGATAGAACCATTCCATTTTCTG